GACCCTTCACTGCACTTACATCCAGAACGTGATGCCAATAGTTGGCACAGTTTTGTACCCAGTAATTCCTTTCATTAATGTCACAGAAATAAGAACGCTCCGTTCCTCCTCCTTAAATGCACACATACTTGATGCACTTCTCCTGAGAGTGTCTAGCCTAACGCTTGCAGGCAAGGAAAACAGCTCAAAAAATCGGCTAGCAAAGGAGGTGTCTGCAAAACGGGGACTGGATACCTGAGGATGGCGGAAGCGGATGGGAAAATGAGGATAGAAAAAATTGTGAACAATATCAAAAACCAAAAAAAACCACAAATTTGGATATATAAATTGTGTCACGAGAACATTTCATAACAAAACACGTGTATAACGTTGTTCGGACAACAACAACAAAAAAGGACTAAATTTCATCAAATTAAAAGAAAATTAGAGAAAACAAACTGAACCTAAAAATAGGGTGAACTACGCGAAAAAGTCGGCGTTTTTTACTTCGCCTATTTCACGCTCGCCTCCGCTAAATCGCCATGTTTTCTCACAAAGGAGCCTGATCTTCAAAAAGGATCATAATACAAATCAATTTTTCGCTCTGCCTTGACTCTGGTCGACTCTGCCATAGCAGACCAGTTCAGAGAGTGACTGTGAACCCGCAGAAGCCCGTTTTTGAGATCAAAAGCTAAGCTACTGTTACACTAGTGGTCTTCGGTTACACAACTTGATTTCCTCTCGGTTTTGTGTGAATCGGTCTTGTTTAATGAGGGTTTTTCTACAGAAATTCATTTTCAAGCAACATGCCACACCCTCAACAGAGTCATTTTTCTGGCCTTTGTTCCATTTTGAATTCACAGTTTTACGAAAAGCTTCCATCAACATATAAAAAATGCTGATCTGGTGTAGACATAGCCAAAACAAAATATAAAGTCTTCTTAAGAAGCAGCTTGGTTTTTTTTTCTCATTTGCAATAATTAAACATCTTTCCAGGTAGAAACGCACGGGAGCGGGCCAAATAATTCGAATATTATATAAATTATTTTCGATTCCGAATTCTACCCTTCACGCTTTTAAAAACGAGTTTTAAGTTGCTCGATACAGACGTTCTAAAAACTCACTGAGGATATGTTTTGGAAACTATTTTGCTAGGAGAAAAATTAGAAACAAAAACAAATCAAACTGAAAGTAGCCTTCATTAATGCGTTTCGAAGTGACACTTTTTTTTGCGGGAGTTTAATTTTGCAGATTAGGTGATTTTTTTTCAGCACCATTTCGGGAAATAACTTTTGCGATTGATCAAGAAGTCTGTTTTTTCTTTTCAATGTGCAGTATATTTTGCAATTTTAAAAATTCGAATCATTATTCATGCACTTATAAATTCCCAAAGGGTAGAGCTTGTAAAAAATAAATCCACATGATAGGCGGAGTTGATTGGCATCTGCCAAATCGGAAAGTTACGTTTTTACGTTCGGCCTTTTTTTCTGGTTGATCTGCAATTTTTTCTGTCTTGAGCCGCTCAAACAAGTAAGTCTTGATTTGATTGCCCTAACAATATTCTTTCTGTAAGTTGAGTACACTATATCCAGTAGGAGCAAAGAAATCAGAACTCCAGGTCAGAATGATTTTATATTAAAAATTGCATTTGTCGTTTGTTTAGCAAGTACTAACACCCATGCCTCCCCCTCGTAGCTTGATAACCATGAAATTCCGAAAAAAGTAATGTTTAAAAAAATAGCGATAACTCCCGAAAGAAAAGACAGACTGTTCATGAATTACATCGCTTTAGGATGCTGGTCTGGTAATATTCTGCATAGCCTGCGAGCAAGCTCTCCTATTTAGGCGAGCGAAGCGAGCCTCGCGAGAACGCGCGAGACTCGCTTTGCTCGTCCAAAGAGGAGAGATTACTCGCAGGCTGTATTCTGCATTCTGACTCGTGATTGCAGGGACCACTGGCTCCTTATTGGGTAAAGAAAAGAATATTAAACAGGGCCAGTGCTAGCCGATTTTTTTAGCTGTTTTCCTTGCCTGCAAGCGTTAGGCTAGACACTCTCAGGAGAAGTGCATCAAGTATGTGTGCATTTAAGGAGGAGGAACGGAGCGTTCTTATTTCTGTGACATTAATGAAAGGAATTACTGGGTACAAAACTGTGCCAACTATTGGCATCACGTTCTGGATGTAAGTGCAGTGAAGGGTCCAACCATGTGACGGCGACTTGAAAGAAAGATTTCTTTCCTTAATTGTTTTTTGTTTGTTTATTTATTCTTTTTTTTTTGTTATCCGCATTTCTCGTTTTTTTTCTTCTTAATTTTTTTGTTATCCGCGTTTTTTTTTTTCATCCGCATTTTTCTATCCGCATTTTCCCATCCGCGTCCGCCATCCGCAGGTATCCGGTCCGCGTTTTACAGACACCCTACCGCCACAACCATGTTTACATACTCTCATGCAAACACTCCTCTCGGCCAATCAGAGCGCGCGTACTATCTTGTTTATTTTATAGAAAACCGTATAAAATGGCCATGAATTGAGCCCAGGTTAGGGACGGACCATTAGAAAAGTTATGGGAGGGGAAGGAGGGGGGGGCAGGGAATTTTCGAGCCGCAGGAATTTTTTTTCTTTAATGTTTCCCGTGAATGAATATTTTTTTTTGTCAAGATGTTGTGCACGAATATTTTTTTTCCTTGAAGTAACACTAAACTAAAAACATATTAAATCATTCAGTTGTTCACTTAACCAAGGGCATAATTTAAATATAGGCTACCTGGGCATGTATGCGAAAGTAAATTGATACATATTCTAAGGTACAGTTCACAATAGCCTTTTATACACAAGGTATCCTGTATTGTACGTGCATTGGTACTGCGCAGGTTCATATTGCATTGCTGAAATTTTACATGTAAATAGTATTATAAATAAGGCATTCTAAAAGAGTGTACAGTTGACTCTCTCTTAACGGACACCTCTACAAGACGGACACCTCTGTAAAACGGTCACCTACAGTTGGTCCCTACCTTTCTTTCCTCCTTTTATTTGACTCTTTATAAGACAGACATCTCTCTAAGATGCACACTTAGTACCGGCCCCAAAGGTGTCCGTCTTAGAAAGAAATGACTGTGGGGTTCTTAAAAGATAAATAAAATAATTTATGTCCAACCACTATAAAAGATCTGACGCAACATATACATATATATAGTGGGACAGAAGAAAGCCAGTGGGAGTAGATGGGACACTTAAAATAAATAAAAGCTAAGCTAACCATACTTCGTGTCAGTGCTTAACGCTAATCACTATAGTCATGTATTAGCCCTAATCACTATTTTCAGTGCTATATACTGCTGACCATCATTCTGCGTTCTGCGTTCTGCATTCTGCGTTCAGTGTTTTGCATTCTGCAATATACCCCTACCATTGATAAATTATGATATACTCTTACCATATTGATACGTTAAAGTTTTTGTTTATAAAATATAATTATGATGATGATATTGTTATTATCAAGAACCAGAACGGAAATTGTCTAAAAATGTGTGGTAAAAATAGATAAATTTGACCAAATGTTAAAAGTCTTTAGGCTGCTAGTCTGAAAAGAACTTGTTAGTTTCATTTATCTAAAAGGACCGGCAACAACTGTAAAAACAAAATCTAAGAAAATAGATTTATTTTTATTTTTATTTATCTGTTGCTTGTTAGAAGTACCAAGAAATAATATATATTCTGGATGTTTCTGGGTGTTTCCTTCGATTTGTGGGGAATACTCTGATTATTGTTACCTATGGTATCTAAAAGAAATGTTTTGTTCCAGATATTAGATATATAGTTCACAAAGTAAGGAAATGATAACCGTTATAAGATGTTGAGTTTTTGTAATACATAGAAAAGTATAATTAAATTTATTTAAAGTTATTTAATAATCATATCTGAAATTGCCAGCTATTAAAATTTATGATAAGCTTACAAGCCTTAGATATATTTTTTTGTATCAGGTATGATTATTTACAAGACCAAAATTCAGCAGGAAGTTTATTCAAAGGGCCGATGTTTTGCACACAGTATGCTTTCCTGCCTGCCTTCTTAAGATTTGTGCAAAATGTGTGGAAGGCCAATGCAGGAATATTTTTTCCTGGTCTACTATGCATGCATGAATTTTTTTCACTTAATTTTCCCTTGCATGAATTTTTTTTTGTTCTTCGTCCATCCCTTACACAGAAAAAGCAACAACAGGCCCAAGATTACGTAAGTACACTATGTCTTACGTAAGTACAATATGCAATACGTGCGAACGTGAACAAGCCAAGTAAACAAGCCAAGCGACGCGAATGTCGTCTGCGCGCTGTGTCACAACACAGCATTTATCTTCATTACATACGCCCCACAGATAACGCACGGCAACTAAATTTCCAATAGAATCTAAATAAAAAGCAAACTTTTTGGAAAAGCAAGGTACACTGGGTGAAACGAACTATTAAATAATTTAAATTTTCCCTTTCGAAAATAATCGTCCTCGCGGCACAAGGTGTGAATAGTACCAAAAATATCAGCGCTCTGCGTCACTCTGCATATTTGGGATTCTGCTTCCTTCGTAGCTCTCGAAAAACTGAGGGACAATTTAAGATTAGTGATTGCGTTTCCCTCCGCTCCTCAGTTACCGGCAGGGAACTAAGACTTTCTATTTTATTTTCATTTTTTAATGCTAATTCTGCGAAAAATTTGCATTTTGTCTCGTCAATGACAATGACCTCCTAGTCACGTGTTCCCAAACCAAGAATAACTCTTATGCGCATTTGTGTCAGAGGCTCTAACATCGCCAGTATCGTTTTGGAACCTTAACCTGACATGAAGTTTTACAACTGAGCTATTCGTAGGAATACACCAAGTCATGCTGTGGGTAGTTATGTAAAGTAAGAAACACTTTTTAGTCACACCCTTTCATAATTGCACAGTTTTGCAAATTTGTCTAAACTTTTATTTAAAATATAAACTTTGCAAAAGCATTAATACTTAGATCCCAGTTAATGACGCGTCATCAGTATGGAATTTTTGCCCTCGAACCTTCGACGACATTTCGCGGAGAAAACCCAGTTGAAGTCGCGAAATGATGTCACCAGTTTTATCAGGCTTGTATCTTTACGCTTTAATTTCTCAATTTGTTGAATTGAAAGACATGTTTTCCGTGGGTTAAGGAGTACATAAGAATGCCATTCATGATGTCTCTAGTGGGAAGAAGGATTTTCCATCCAAGAAGCAATTGAACCAAACTTCGGTCGCTCAGATGCTTCCTCGTGCCAGCATTGTAACATAAGCTTATAGCTATAACCAAAAAAAAAGGAAAATAAAAGAACAAGAAAAGTAAGTTTAAAAAGCAAATCCAGTACGTGTTTCTTTATTAAGTGAACGAACTGGCCCTTGCAACTAACAATCCCGTCGGACAAATTAACTTAATTCCTAGCCATTAGTTTATAACTGGAAAGGACAGAGGAAGTTGGTAACTCCGGCTATAAGAAAAGCCGGGAAAACTGTAATATCATATAGCAGCAAACTCTTATAAACTCCCAACCATTCAGTATATGTGATCTGTACTCTCCTAGAGAGGTATGCCATGTATAGGCTATATGCGTTCTTTTTTTGGGTGCTATGACTACAGCATCTTTTGTGACATCTCTGAAGTAAGCATTCAATGATTACAAGATCAGCGCAAGCCTTGCTAGCACCATAAATCGAGAGACAAATTAGGTCAATTTAGAGAGCACAATCAGTAAAGCATATAGAATTTAGGGATAGGATGTAGAAACCACTGCGACAGATTCACGAAGCCTTCTCCTCATACAAGATATATCGGGATATGGTATCTCAAGAGGCTGTTTTTAAGGAGCAATATAAATATTTAGCATATGTCCGGCCAGGAGTTCTTCGAATATATCACCCTGTTGCTAGAAATACTCACAGTTCTGAAGTAAAAGCTGATTTTCTTCGCATCCGTAGACCACTCGCGACAAAGCTATAGACCTCTTCCCCGCTCATTCCGTCGTAAGGTTTTCCTCCTATAAATATAAATGCAGTATAAAAGTGGGTGTGCATTATTTAGTAATTATTAAATAAAGCTGAGTAGGATGTGAAGAATTATGCAGTGCAAAGGTGCGACTGGCCTGTCTACAGATCCTCTTTGTTTTTCTTTCTAGATCATCGAGCACGCGTATGAAAATAAAACCCGCAGTGGATTTATTGACCGCCAACGCAAGGGGGCTTCCCTCGCGCACTCGCAAAGGCTAGAGGCTCGTATAAAAGTGTTCAGGGGTTCCAATGACTATCGAATTAGAATTAGTAGCCTTAGGTTTTTTCTATTACCGGAGAGAATCCTTTTGGAGCAAAAATGAGAACTTACCGATGACGAGCGAATTGAACCTACCAACTGAATCCTTCTCAGAGATACAAACTAATGCCTCATTGGTGGAGACGCGCGCGAGTGTTGTCACCCTTGTTACACAGGCCGCCGAGCCATCGCTGCTAGAAATGTGACCACATGTCAGCACTTTGCTAGATCAAGATTAAATGCTAGCGGGAATCGACGCTACAAGAGTCTTATATATCTGATGTCTGACCCTGAATCAGTTTCGCAGTACAACCCAATCGTACGCTTGGTGTCGTTTATTCATGAGGTTCTGCTGTTCTACTTACCGAGGGTGAAAATTTCATACAGGACAATCCCGTAGCTCCATCTAAAATCAGACGATTTTAGTTTTCATTAGTCTGTTTTGGTTGTTTTTGTGTTTTTGTCTACTCTACCACACATTCTAAACAGTTTCGTTATCTTGATGTACCCTTTGTTCGTGTAAATTAGATCGCCCAGCAATACACCCTTATTTAAGCCCGGCTTTAGATGGGATCTGGAAGACATGGCACATTACTTCTTACATTCATGCTCCTCCAATATTTCGCGGCGCCTATTTCGCAGAGGCAAAGTTAGTGAAAGAAAACATGCACAGATTTAAACCTTTAACACAAAACGCGATACTTATAAATTAGTCATATTTTTTCGTAACCATGCAATCATCGGCTTTGACTCCAGGAAGCGTTTCAATGATATCGCTCACTAATCAAACGACTACAGTAACAAACCTTTAATAGTCTACAAGTAGACGATGTGTAAACCATTGCTAAAATATTCTCTCAAGATACCGAAAGAGCCGCTTGACGGGTGATACGACTTCCGCGCTGCGTTCTTGTGAACAACAGCTTAAGCATTCTGGAGAAAAGTATTGATTTGAGAAACAACGTATGCATGCATGTGGAATGCATGCCTAACGGTTATATTTTCATTCCATACTTACACATCACTTTCGGTAGTATAAACTTGATTTTTTAGTGATTCAACTGCCATCCATTTTACAGGCATCAGACCCTGTCAATAAAGCGCAGAACCTTGAATTCAGGAATCGTTTCATGGGGGCAGTGTCTGTTGCGAAATAGAATTGACAGCTGTGAATCACAGCGTAGTTAAGGTATGGCTTACGAGGTGCGCTTAGCTATCAAACAGGCAGTCTTAAATCAATCGTATCCGGCAGGAAATTTATTTTCGATTTAGCATAAAAGACAATGGTCTTTGTTATATATACGTACTTACATTGGATCTTCTAACGTAGATTTCCTCTCGCCCCAGGTCCCTTGCCATGCCAAAATCGGTAATCTTACAGCGCAGCCCTTCACCAACTAAGATGTTTCGAGCTGCCAGATCTCTGTGGATAAGCTACGACCAGAAATAATAATGTATTTAATCATTACATAAAAAGCTTGCATGTAAATTCTCTTATGACGCAAGCATTGTGCTTTTCCTTATGTTTGCGCCATCTAAGCTTAAAATTGCGGGCAAAAGGTCGTAATCACGAGCCATAACAAACTGTGTAACGAAACATATTTTCATTCGCTTATGCCTGGGCTTTTGTTTGCGTCGTTTCGTTGTGCGTTTAAAATCCTTCTTAGCTGCAAAGATGGATTGATTGTTTTAAATCTTTAGTAGAGCTCAAACTGTATTACATAGTTCCTTCTTCGCTGAACTATCTACTTGCCAGCGTTTTTATTGGGCGGACGAGTACCTAATTTTTCGGGTATCCGCATCGATGGATTTTTGTGGGGGAGTCTAATTAATCCGACTCCCCTGTTTTCAGATTTAAGTTGGCGGCAACAAGAGCACTGAGCCTACGCCTCGCAAGGCATGCGCTGTAACTAACTTCTCTAGCTTCGTCAAGACAAATTTAATGCTTTTGCTTAGCGTTCCCGTAATCTTTTTTGTCTCTGCACAAGCAATCCATAAAGCATTCGTGGAGATCAGCAAACCTGGTGCGCCGAAATAAATTCCATTCCACGGGCGATATCAGCTGAGAATTGGTAAAGTTGTCGTTCTGGTATCTTTGATGGCACTTCCTTGCTTTTTAAATCATAGAAATCATCATTTTCTCCATTGCTTTTTCTTAGATATCCAAGAAGATCGCCATGAGGAACAAATTCCAGGATAACAAGAGGTGGTCCTTAAAAAAAAAAAATGGGAAGAAACTTATGCCTCGTCCACACGTATCCGATTTTTTTTTTTTAAATCCGCAACTTTTTCTTTGAGGATTCGGCCTCAGTCCACACGTATCCGCTGAATCCACCATACGAATCCGCAACTTTTTGAATCCGCTGTCCAAAGTAAAATTTTTTTAATACGCTATAAATCCGGAATCGTGTGGACGCTAAATCCGGATATTTTTTATCCGGTGACGTAACAAAATCGAGCCCAGTTCTTTACTGTGAATACCGTAGAACCTCTATTCAGGGGACACCCTCGGGACCAAGGCAAGTGTTCCCTGAATAGAGGTTAGGCTGGGTTTTGTTAGTAATTAACCAAAAAATAAAATATATTTCTTTTATTCTGCCTTGGAATCTGCTGAAGTCATTATTTCAAGCAGCTACATAATAATAAAAAAATCATGATTAAGTTAAAAATATCTTTGCATTGTTGTTGTGTGTTGAATTCCCACAAGTGCAGTACACCGATTTTAAGTGAGATAGTTCATGTTATTACTTTGAAATCTGCCGCCGTTGTGACTAGTGAACACTTACATTTATCAGCGATTTTTGTGATCAATCACTCTAGTTTGAACGCTAAGGTGTCCCTGTGAATGAAGGTTAATCCCGTGTTTCGGAACCCAGAAAAAGTGTCCCTTTTTTTCTGAAAAGAGGTGACCCTTCAATTAATGGAGGTAACAAATGCAAAGATCATGTGAACGTTTTTCCGGGACCAGAGTTTGTGTCCCCTGAATGGAGGTGTCTCAAAGGAGAGGTTCTACTGTATTCAAGATGGTGCCGAGCGCAATATTGTCGCCTCTGGCTTCTTGGACTTCAGTTTAAAGTCTTATGACGTGTGTGCCGTTAAACCTAGCTATGATTACGATGTCAAACGGCTGCTCGACATTCTGAGGCTTCTTTCTATGTCGGACGAGAGTAGTGCTTGAAGGACAATTTTGTCAGCGATACATTTATTGAAGAAGAGTGACGAGAAAACTTCCCATGAGCCAAACTTAGCTTTACAAATTAGCAGGGTGACGTCGACTAAGAGTGAATCCGGATAGGTGTGGCCGGGAAAACTCGATTATGCTACGTGTGGATGTGGAGATCTTTGAATCCGCAAAGTTAGGATGATTTGCGGATTCAAAAATATCCGGATAAGTGTGGAAGGGGCCTTAATCAAGAGCAAAACTGCAATTATTATCTCTGAGATAATCGCAAGCTTACACATGTAGATAGCAAATTGCTAGGCTAGCATTTATTATCACATTTGAATTTCTTTGTAAGATGTACAGTCGACTCCCGAAAACTCGAACCTTCAACGGAAATTAGAAAAAGTTCGAGTTATCCCGAGTTTAAGTTATCGGGAGCTCGAAGAAGATAGCAACTTTTATTTTTAATCATCTGTTTCACTTAACAATGCTATCGAAAGCATTCTAAACTACAAATTCTTTGCGAATAGTTTTAAAAAAGTACGTTTGGGCGTGCAATAATGTTTGAAACCCAAGAAAGAAAAATTCTCTTCACTCAGAAGTCCCGTTCTGGTCATGAAATCTAGTTGCTGCGGAGCGACCGTAGGGAGCGAACAGCAACATAATCAGGATTTAAGGGTGAGACGAAGGTGAGACGAATTCTCGAATTCATCGCTTTTTACCACAATGCATTGTATTTAACCAGAGTGCTTCGCGCCACTTTTTACCAGAATGCATTGCGCCACGAAAAACTTTAATAAAAACACAAGGAGGTTCGAGTTCGCTGTTCAGACTCAGAGTTTTCTTTGTGACAAAGCACGTTTAGAGATCTTACTAAATTTAAGACACGCAAGAGTCTTTCAGATGAGTACGATGGTTAAGTTGGGGATTGGATTTCAAGAGCCTTTGACTCATCCAGGCGTTAAACTTGACGAGAAGATGAGCATTTGCTCTTGGAATCCGCAGCACGGGGGATACTTGCTAGAAGATCGGATGCGAAAGTGAGACAGTGTCATGCCATGCTATTCTTAGGAAGCTGGATGAGCCGAAAATGCATGTGATTTTGACCATAAGCTTCAAAATAACAGCGGAAATCGAGATAACCAAACATATGTTTTGCGTCCTACTTTGCAGACGAGGACCTGTATCGGCGTTTTGTAAAGTATAATTGTGTTCTTTCATTCATTCATTGCCATGGAATGCGTTTACATTGCTTTTTTTTTCTTTTTACTGTTAATAGCTCGGTTAAAACGGCTCGAGTCCTACTCAGTGCCTTTTCTTTTTTTCCTTCTTTTTTTCTTTTTTTGTGTTGTTGTTTTCTATACATATATATTCCTAAGTAACTGTTATTTAATAAAGTGCAATAAACAGCAAGAAAAGCATTCCAGAGAAAAATAGTACACCGTATATTAAAATTAATATGTGGATAAACAATCCGAATTTTTGTCTTTTCCTACAGTTTACTGTGGGAAACCAGAGTTGAAGACCATTTGATCGTTTTCTAAACAACCTTCCCACGAGTTCTTTCTATATACTGATAGTGATTATTACATTCCAACATGTAAATTATATATATTACATATATATATATATATATATATTATTGCTTATAGCGCGCAAATTAACATTCGAATATGATCAAATGCGCGTTACATCTAAGATACCTAAAAACTATAAACAAAAGCAATAAGAAAACTATATACATAATATAAAAACTAAAAATACATCATAAAAAAACTAAATTACACCGTATGAAAAATAAGATAATGAGCAATTAAATTAGATAAAATTAACAGAAAGCCATGCGAAACAAAAAAGTCTTAACCTTAGTTTTAAAAGATAGGACATTCAATGTCATTTTCAAGTCTCACTTAAGCAGATGGATCTCTGCCTAACTAATGTACATGTCAGTATCAACAGAATGCAGTGCCGCAGCATTAATATCTTTTAGATACCCTAGTATATATTTCCTTCTCTTTACCTTTGCTAAATGATTTAAATCTTGCAGCGGAAGAGGTTACATGAATACTGCTCCTTAACAGCGCTGAACTTAGAGGAAGTGATCATACCTTTTACAACAGAATAACTACTTTTCAGTATTAACTTTATCTTTTTTTAAGCATGAACTTACTGAACTCCATCTTTTCCTGACATCGCACCACATCTTTGGTCACACAGCCCAGCAATCGTATGACGTTAGGATGAGGTTTAAGCTTCTTCAACAAGTCCAGTTCAGACAAAAGGTCCTTGAGATCGGACTTGGAAGATTTTTCTACAATCGAAATATAACTTTCATTTGTGTGAAATGGTTTGTGGGCTTGTTTGGCCCATGACTGTCCACTCTTGTCAACTGCTCGGAAGAGAAATTAGACAGGACACAAAAGAAGCAAAGCCTCTCAAAAATGAGCAGGTTTTCTAGAATAACCGATAAAATAATTGGCAAAATTTATTTTTCTTTTTGCTCTAGTATTATTTTGTACCCCGCTATGGCTAGATTTTTCTCCGATGGTAACTCTTAGTGCTGTGCCTCTTTGAAGGGTGTGCCTTGTAAGGGTATTAAAATCAGAGAAATTTGAAAACAAAGTTGACATTCCGCGACGACACCATCGCCATTTTCCCCTTTTCATGAAATGACATCCGAGGAACGAGCGCAGAATGAACGGATGAAGTAATCAGAAGCACTGATGTCGTGTCATCAGAATGGAATTTCTTCGCTCCTTCCTCAGACTTTTTCGGCTGTTTTCTCAGGCTAAGAAATTGAGGGTAGCATTTACAAGGATTGAGGTGAAAAACTCATTCTATTATTCTAACGGTAGGGAAATTTAGCGTCTTAGCTTAGAATATTGAAGTTTCTAGTTTGATGTAACCAATTTAAGTTGGACTAACCCTGGTATCTGTTTTGTTTTTTGGTAATTTTTTTTTTTGGAATCCCATCTATAACCTGCAGGTACTAAACGGTCCTCTAAAATGTGTAGATTAGCCAGTGACGGGGGTCTCACCTCACCTTTAAGCATTTTAACGGCCACCACGGACCAGCTTTTGGCACCATTCACTTCCCACGCCGCACCCTTCCACACTTGGCCAAACGACCCACCACCGATTCTTTCAAATAATGTCAAATGATTGCATGAAACCTCCCAGTTGGTGTTAGAAAGCACTGGCGTGTATGGGGATTCAACTTTGCTATGCGGCTTCAATGTAGAGCCAGTTTTCCCCACTGTGTTCTGGTAGAAAGACTTTAGACATTGATCATTCTGATAGCCGGTGGTTCCGCGAAAAGCTATCGTCCGAGGGCTGGTACAATTTGATCGCTCAGCCATTCTAGTTCGTGTATCTGTACATCGCGTATTTAACGGTGGCAGAGTTAATGATGAATCCTTATGTTGGAAGCTTTCAGTGACACTTTTACCCATAATCTTCAACCTTGGTTTTGGCCGAGGCCTAGATTGGAAGGTATGGGCTTTTTTATCGCAAGTGAAGCGACTGGTTTGAGCCCTCACTTGCAAATTTTCACTGTCGACTGGTTGAAGGTAATTCTCAGAATTTGAATTTTGATGGCATACACCAGTTTCAAATTGATTTCTGCGAAAGTTTTCTGACTCCCTGACTGCTCTCGTTTCCTGATTGATCTCTTGAATGCTTCCGTGCGTTACTGCACCTGTTCTCTTACTAGTTTCCATGACAACTTGGTTGTCCCCTTCAGAATTAGCAGGGTTGATATACCCAGTAATAAGAGCCTGACTATCCCTTATTCCTTTGATAACACTGTGATTTTCAATTGTTTTCACGGCACTGGACTCCTGATTTGAAGTAACTGCTCGAGTGAGATCATTCGCTTCTGGATGGAATGATGTCAGTGCAAAAACTCTACCAGCTCTCCTCTGTTCACAGTTCTCTCCAACTTGACTTTCTGTTACTGTTGCTGACAATTGTTCTGAAGCCTTGTTCGATTCTGAGGTACCCACTGGCAATTCTGATGACGTCACCAAGTGTCTTTCATTCATACCATTTCCTTGAACCTGCAATAAATAAGTACAGTCAAACCCCGTTAAATAAATACGCACACTGAGAGAGCTATGGAAAGTGTCTGCATTAGGCGTGTTGAAGTTAGAGAAAATATAGGAGATTCTTTCCAAGGGCAAAGTAAACGAGGTGTCCGTAAAGAGGGTTTTGACTGTCGTTTATCCCTATTTCAATTCCTATATTTATAAAACATATTTATGAAAGCAAACCGACGAGACTGAGGGAATAATAGACTGCAAAACAGTGGTTTTTTTCTCAAAATCAGTAAAGAAATCGGTAAAGCGGGGCGTAAGAGTTTTACGCGTCTCTCCCCAGTCTCGCTCTCTGTTTTCACCCTCGTTCCAGATCTTTTGTTTGACTGCTCGCGCGCACTTGAATACGCAAAAATACGGACTGTTTTGCAGTCTAGGGGAATAAAGTTGGGCCCTAATAAAGTCAAACATGATCATCTTATCATTTTTTCCGATCTAAAAGTATTAAATTAAAAAAGAGGACGAAAACCATTCAGTGTTGACAGTGGTACAGGGTGGAAACTAAAAGGACCCCGAATTTTTTAAGGGCAGGACTGGCTAACCCTCTCGCGAAAAACCTTCTGAATACATTAATACTGAAACGCTGCTAATCAATCTCTAAAAAATGAACGGCGTTTTTAAAATACTTTTATCTAAAAGAAAAAAGTGGTGTAAGAAATGAAAAAGGGGATCTCACCAAATCAGAGGATCCATTCTCCTGGGATGTAAAGTACAATCTTGTTATTCTGAAAAAAATAAATAAGGTGTTTTTTTCTTGCGGCATAAAACAGATAGTATAGGTTACAATTTTTTTACTTTCGAGTATTCGTTTCGAAGTCATCTATTTACGATTGATATAGGGCCCTCAGCTTGGCTGAAAATGACCGAATAGCCGGGAAAGAGTTTTGCATTCTAAGTGACGCTATAAAGTTTGTATCTGTTCGGTCCAGTCCTAGGGCAACGTGAATCTTTTCGAAATTACAATGGCTTTAGTATTATTTTCCCAGAACTTTAGATTCAATTCCAAGTTTCAGAAATGTTAAAAAATTACTGATTCCTTTAATACTCTATAAAATTTCCAATCCTAAAGTATTAGGTTTCCTTTTTTTTCGAAATATAGCTAAACCTAGGGAGTGAAATGTGAAAAATGGACCTCAGAATTTCGTAGCGAATTTCTCTGAGATAAGCCTCGAGAATTGTTCATGAATGGAACTGTCATCTAGAAATTTCAAGTCGTCCACCATGCCACTTACGGAAAATTTTAAGCAATCTGGGCTGAGTTGCTCAAAGCATGGTTAGCTTTAACCATTGGTTAAGCCGTATCAAAACCAATACGTTGTCAAGGGATTAAACGCTGGTTAACGCTAACCATGCTTCGAGCAACTGGGCCCTGACTTAATTCGCTTCTTCGAACAGATATGTTCCCCTGTTACAATTTTGCCAATTAAAGGCAACTTGGCACTGTTCTGCGTTTTTTTAAAGTTAGTATTTCAAGATTTCTTAGTGCACCTATGGGAATAAAGACGTTGTATTAACACTACTGAAATGACGATAGCAAAATTACGTTTTTAGATCGCGGTGCTTTGAAAAAATGAAAAAGCCCATGTATGCATGGTAATGCTTCCCAAATCTCTCAGTAGACACACACACGTTGAAGTCTGTGGACTGTCCTTTTCTAAGCAAAAATTAATGTCAACATTTTTCTGTTTCTGTTCAAGTAAAATCTATTTTGTAAATGAATTGGATCCACAACCCCACGATGAAAGACGAAACGGATAAACGTTTTCCTCAAAATATAAAATACATACGCTCTGATTTCTTGATGACCTGTTAAATTCGAAAACAAAGAATCAGTGTTAGAATCTGTGCTCAAAATGTCCTTGTTTGTGTACGTGGAGATATCTACGTACCACATATACGTAATTACATTTCATCAAGCCTGTTCGCTATTAGCAATGTACTGATCGAGCAACAAATTGAGCAATGAAATTTTAGCTGATTCGCCCCATGGAAGGTCTGTAAGGTATCTTTCGCCCCATGTTAGGTATTCATAGCCAGTATATAAACAGTCTAGGATTGTGGTTCCACGCTGTGAATTCCCGATTTCTTGTCAGTGGAACCTGGATTCGGGATTCTTGTATCAGGACAGAGATTACTATGGACATCATGCAATAAATGAGTTATTTTTTGAAAGAACAAGGATGACATTAACTGTAAAAAAATTAGTTCACTTACGTTGTTCTTTTTCCTTTCTACAAACAGATTTTCTGCGTAAACAGTAGATTCCTCCTAGAAGCAAGAAAGAAAAGGCAATGGGAATCATAATGCTTACGAGGGTGACATTATAATTCCTCTCCTCATCTTTCCTGTTAGCCCTGTGCGTTGGTGACATCCCTGTTGTAACCTCTGTTAGAGAAAAAAACAGATGATATCAAAACGACTTCTCCCGTCCAGGAAAAGTAAACCAAACTATACTGGTGATGTAAAGCATTATTGATCACAGCTCGTAGCTAGAGTTAAACCTCGAGGTGAAGGCCGGTAACGCAACTAAACGGAGGTTGGCCGTATAGCATACTGTTCAAGAGAAACGCCAGTTTGTTCTAAAAGAAACACCTTTATAGAACCTTGTATAGCAATAGCTTTCACCCATGAAGAGACAGCTCTTACATGTAAATTAGTACTGAACAAAACTACAATCTTGTTACGAACGAGTTCTCCCCAAAAGGTTTTAATGAGGTTTCCCAGCTACATGAACAATACCATAAACGTTGGCGCAAACTTAATAACCCAAAAAGGTGGTAAGTTCCCTGTAATAACGTTACATAACGGGTCTTTGATCAGTGGTCACCTTCTTTGTCAGAGTGTATACGTATTTCCCTTTATTGTTCAGCTAGGCAAAGTAACACTTGGTAGCCGCTAACAGAGATGACGACAACAGGGGAACTCCAGCCTGGATGGCCAAAAGGGGGCGGGCCTGGTCGTTTGATGGTGGTGTCCGCTTGGTTCAGTTTACAATTACACGATACAATTGTATTATTAGTGGTACTCTTAACATTCAACTTTATTTAGGCCGCAGCCATTTCAAACGGCATACATTTCTTTCCGCAGCAACTTGCAATGTTGTTTGGCAATCCTAGAATCCCATACACTTTTAAAATAGGTCTCCGATTACTGGTATTCATGTCACAGAGGAGGCAAATTTTTTCGAATATATTCTTATTTCGTGTAACTGATGAACTTATCTTACTTTTGTGAAGTGACTTCGTTGTTGTCTTGGTTCTCCGATTGATTCCATCCGTAAAATTTGTAGATATTATCAATGTTTTGCTAATTTCTAATTGACTTTGGCCCCATTTGTTCCAAGCCGTTACTGCGAGCATGTAACGTTTATAGGCAGCCAGTTCTATGTGGTACATAAAACCAGAAACATTCTTTCGTAACCAAGATTCCTTGCGAGTCATATCCTTGTCTGCCACCTTTGTCATGTTTAACACTCGGTGCCACACTGTATACGTCGTCACCAAGCGTCCCTCACTGTAAACCGCTGACCACCGAAGAGTCCAAGTAGATTTCACGGCTTTTGTGTTTGTGTTAAGAATCGTCGGGCTTGCAGGGAGAACTTAAGATAGAAAGAAGAAATTTTGTGATAAAAATAACTATTTAAGGTACCTCTCTTACAATGCACCAGAAGAATACCATAGGTGCATTTGCAACCATGAAAACATAAGCAATTATCTTTGTCAAGAGGTATTTTTTTCGGATTAAGAATGGCAATATAAAGGCTTAGTTTTTTTAAGTTGTGTAAATGTTTTCCTAACAACTTGTTTTTTATTAATTCTACTTGAAATTAGTACTCAATTATAATTTTAACATCGTAAGAATTCCCATCCCCTAAACTCTTAACTGCATGATGATTTTGAGATCCCAGCTGACAAGTGACATTCTCCATGTTTAGCAATCACATTAAGCATTTC